CCCGTGGCGTCGGCACGCCCGATCGGGGATCACGCTTGCCGAACTACTGTCCCGCGACTCCTTGCGTCCCAAACTCATGCGTGTTCGACGCATCTACGAGGCGGGTCGTGTGGACGAGGCCGGCCTCGTCCTCGAGAGGTTGACGAGTGAAGCCGGGGGAGTCCCGTATCAACTCCTCGACGCGATCCCCTGGGACAGGTCCTTCGCGTACAGCATCCGTGGAGTTTCGTATGTAGACCGTATGGCTGAACACTTGTTCGGTCGTCTCCCTGACGGCCCGCGGCGTTTCGTGTTCTCGGAAGTGAAGGAGCTATTCATTAGCCCTGGACCGTACGCGTATTCGAAGACCCGCGTGGCCTTGCAAAAATCAGCTAGCTCACTCATGCGGCTTCACGCTATTGCGGTGTCGCCCCACGATTGGGTGACATACCGCCATCGTGAGGAAGAGGACGGTCGCGTTTTTAGATCGGCGTCCTTTGAGCACGGCATCACTGCAAGGGACTTCCCCGAACTTCCGGAGACGCTGCGGAGGTCCCTTCCATCCTTCGGGGTCCACCCGCACCTTCCATATGCCTTAAAGCATTTCGGGTTTGCGTGCTCCGACCCCCGGCACCCGGCCTACGCTGAATTAATGCACAACGTCGAGTGTGAGTGGGCATGGGCCCTAGGGAGCGCGTTTATGACCGAGGTCCATGTCAACCGTCGCGTGTTTGTACAACCCATCGGGGTCCTCGCGTTTCTTGGGAGGGTCGCCGTCGACCTCCCCGACGTGCCCCTACATCCGTTAGAGACGCATTCCAAACACGCGACGTGGAGCTTCGCGTCCGTACTTTCACTCATGCATCGCGCGTGCCAGGTGCCCGAGCGTACGCGGCGCCCGTGGACCGATTACACCACGGGCGAGCAAAGTTCCTTTCTACTGTACGACGCGCGGTCCGAATCTTTCGTAGCGAAGCCGGCCTCTCCCCAGTCTTCGCCGACCGTCGCGGGGAGAGTGGCCCTCATGGCGCGTCGGCCCGCGCTTGGCCACGGCACAGTGAGGTCACCATGCCCTCGTTGGAGGAGCTAAGGACAGATGTGCCCCAGCACCCGAGCTACTGTCCTCAGCCCTCCCGCGTCTCCGATCCGGCGGAGACGCCTGATAGCCCGAGCCATTAATCGGGCGGCCCTATTAGACTCCGAGGTTCCGTCCTCGGCTCTTGCATCTTCGTAAAATAGTAGCACCGTCTCCCCCCGCTTGGGTCTTTAGTTCGCGTCCCCCTTCCCCAGTCTCCGGAGAGGTAGACAGGGAGTCTGAGGCTGACGTTCGTGTCGTTCCCCGCGTTGCGCAGTCTCCGCAGTTACGACTGCTTTCCGTCCCTCCCCACCAGAGGGGCGGGCAAGGCGGAAGATCGGTTCACCCTCGATCGCGTGAGTTAAGCTTCGAAGCACCCTCTCTCCGCGTCGGTGTCCTCGTAAATTAGTAGAACTCCTCCCCCGGCCCGTCGTCGATGCGAGGTGTCCTGTCCCGATCTCACCTTTTCATCTCTTGCGCGGGGGGGTCCGTGTGGCGCCCTTGGCGTCTTCCTTCATCCCACCCCGTCCGATGAGGTGGGAGAGGGGTCCCGGTTCTTCGTCCGGAGCCTTCGCCACGCCACGCGTTCTCACCGGTCCTAACCGCGCGCTGTCCCGCTCCCGTCCGAAGGGAGCCGCGGGGCGTCGGTTCGCCTCTGAACGCGTGTCTCGAATCTCGTTCCTCGGCTCCTCTACGCGTCAGTGTCGCCGATCGCGCCGGGTCGCCATTCGCGGTCGACTTAGCTCCCCATTCACGCGTATCTCTCCTATCGAGGCTTCGAGGGGACTGAGTGTATGCGTGCGCGTACGCGTCACCCAGTCGCACGGCGAAGGGGTGGTAGGGGTCGCGACAATGGTCTGGCCCATGTCCTGTTGATGCGTGCGCGCGCGGTGCTGGAGGGTGCGCCGACGGCGCTGCGTACTGAAAGAAAGAGGGGGGAGTCGTGCTCCCCTAGAGGGGAGCGCCCTCAGAAGAAGGCGCGGGCAGCGCGATCCCCACGCGTCTACGAGCAGTGGGGGGGAGACGTCATCCCCCAATTGAGGCTTCAGCTCATTCCCACCGTTTCTCCATTCAAACTCTCAGCGACCTCCCTCTTCCCCCTTCCGTTTCGCCCTCTTCCGACGCAGTCGGCGACGAGATAGCCTCCGTGCCGCTCGGTGCGGGTTCTCGTTGGGACCGGAGCAAGCGCCGTACTTGGTCTCCTCTTGAGCGGCGGATTTGTCCGTTCGGTCGACATTGTGTGCGGGCGCGATGCGCCGTCTTCCTGGTCTCTGCGCACGTGCTCGCTGGGAAAAGAACAAACGTTAGACAGTAGCGTCTCGAGCTCCTCTGTTGCGATTCCGTGCAGGCTGGCGCGGGCGCCTCGCGCGGGCGCGCTTCCCCATCTGCCTGTCGTAAGGCGGATGCGCGTGCGCCCGTAGGGACCGCGGAGGTAAGGCCGGAGCCACCTTTCGTGGCCCGATGACGGTCGCCCGGCGATGGCCTTGCTTGAGTCCTTCTTGACGTGTGCGCGGTGGTGCAGCGAGCCGTTGAATCTGCGTCATAGCCCGCCTCGGGCGGCCCGAACACGACCGCACCGGCATGTAGGCATGGGGGAAAGGTTGGGGACTCCGCTCCTATCCCTCCTCCGTGCAGTGTGGTTCTTACCCCACCGAAGGGCAGTGCGTTCCGCACGCTGATCTCCGCTGTGAAATTGCGTGTCGCCCCTGACGACACTTGTCCTGTCGGTCTTATGCGCACGTTCACACGCGCGCACGTGCGTTTTACCTTACTGTACGCCCTCCCTTTCTTTAATTATTTCCAGAGGCGGCGGTGGCTTGGCATACAGTGTCATTCGGACCGTATTTTTCACCTATTTTTGGTCCGTTCCCCAAATTATTTCGGGTACGTGGTAACGGATTGACTTGGGGGTTCGGGCGACGCGCGCGGCTTTTTAGTTCTTGTTGGCCCCCCCTTTTCCCATCGGTACCCCTACGGTCGTGCGCGGTCACGGGATCGTGGGTCTCCCTACGAGTGGAGCTCGTCGCGACCGTTCGCGTCATTTCTTGGCTAGGGGGTGGCGTCGCCCTCCTGCCTCTCGTTGGTGACTACGTGACACATTGCGTTTCCAGCGGTTCGTTCCGCTTGGCATTGGTGTGTCGCGTAGTGAGCTCGGACTGTCCATACGTCTTGGCGTCGTTCTTGTTTTCCGATTCGAGCACCCTATCGGCGGGTGTTCCCGTGACGCGTTCACGTTTCTTGGGAGGTCGTATCCTCCCGTTGATACAGGGCTGCCTTTTTTATTGTACAGTCCGTACTGTCTCCGTTTCTCGCGTCTTCTCGACGACGTGTGTCGTATCCGATGAGCTTGACGGCCAATACGTTTTGGCGTCACGCGCCTTCGTGTGCCACCCCGGTTGGGTACATTTGTCCGTTCATACGCGTCATCTGTTCCTAACCGCAGCGTGTTAATTACTCGGTGACGAAGCGGTTGGGGGCCCCCTCCTCAAGAGTGAACGACAGCGTTCACTTCGGAGGTGAGTTCCCTGCCTGTACGCGTTCTCAGTCGTTTCGCGTATCGCGACACTAGCTCCTCGGGAACATGTGTTCGTGCAGTCCAAGTGGGCTCGTCGTAGTCAGCCCACTTGATGACGAACTCCGTAGTTCCGTCCTCTACCACGCGATGCTTGGGCAGACGCTCGACCGCGTACTGCGTGCCCTCGGTGACCTTGTCGGCAAGGTCACCTGGGGTTGTTGCACTTGCTCGTGGCGCGTCCGTCGGAGAGGGCGCGTACACGCAGCGGTCTGCCGAGACGCGCTCCGTCACCCCATCACGGTCGATCGTGATGGTTCGTTTGTCGTTGGCCAATACGCGGTATGATCCAACGGCAGGTGACGCGAGCTTGTCCGACGTCTTCGCCCCATCGGTGGGGTTGAGGTACACATAATCCCCGGGCTTGAGTCGCTTGTTAAATCTTCGTACGCGTTTATCAAAGTCGCGTTTGTAGCGGGCTTGCGTACGATGCAAGCTTTCGTAAGCTTTTTGGATCATCTCGTCCAAAGTCTTGAGGAACTCTGCGCGTTGAGTTCTCCTGTCCGGAGGGGGTGCGTCCCCGTCGGTTCTTCGAAGAGAGAACTCCGGCGGGGGTCTGCTGAGCACGAGCTCAAAGGGTGTCGTACGCGTGGTTCGGTGTACGTGGGAATTGTACGCGTACGTAAGCGGTCCCACGTACACGTCCCAATCATCCTGATGCTCGTTGACGTAGTTCCGAAGCATCGACGCGATAGTCCGGTTCTAACGTTCAACCTGCCCATTCGTCTGGGGATGATACGCGGACGTCTATAAGTTAGTTATCCCCAGTACGCGACACACGCTGTGGACGAACTTCGCGTTAAATTGAGGATCGTTGGCCGACAACAGCGAACGCGGAACGCCGTATTTGAAGACCCACGCGTAACAGAATGCTGTCGGGACAGTGTACGCGGTCACTGTTCGAAGCGCGACAACTTGTGTTAACTTAGTGAAGCGGTCTTCGATAACGAGGAGGAAAAGATTCCCTGCCTTCGTCTTGGGGAGCGGTCCAAAGATGTCAATCGGGAGGCTCTCGAGTGGCCGCTTAGCGGGAAACAACCTCAAACGGTTGAGGTGTTTCCGCAACTTGACCCGGTTCATCGCGCAGGTCCGACACCCTCGCACCGTGGCAGCGACATCTGCAGTGAGATGGGGCCAGTAGTACTCACGTCGAAGGGCGAAGTACATACGATTCTGGCCCGGGTGCCCCGCGATGGCCGGGTTATGGCACAGGCGGAGGAGCCTGGCGCGGAGCGCACGAGGTACCACCACCTGAACGATATCAGGGTCTAAGGGGTGTCTCCGCTTGAGCACCCCTTGGTGGTCCTCGAAGAACGCGGAGTCCCGGGACTCTGACTGTCGTGCCAAAACGGTTTGGCAGAAGTCATCCACGCGTTACTCCTCGGCTATCTCCTCTATCGTAAGAGGGGCCGAGAGGTCGTCCTGCGGTGGGGCGACCGGGGTGTCGGGCGCGTCAGCCTCGGGGTCTTCGGCGCGCTCGATGTCGGCGGCGTCGAACTCGTCGTTCTTCTCCCAAAACGAAGTGGGTCCTTGGAGAGCGGGAGCTTCGTCGTCGCCTCGCGGTTCGTCGCGCGTTTGTACTCGCGACCTCGTTCTTGACCCGGCTTGGTTCCGTGTCGTCACGAAGACATGGACGGCCTGATGGTCACAGCTCGCTGTACAAACGCGGTCCGCGAGCTCGTTCGATACGTCTCGAACGGTCGTACCGCCGTCGAAGGTGGGAATGTCGTCATCCACCTCGACGGTGGGGCGAGGGTCATCGGCGACACGAGGCGACACGAGGCGTGACAGGGCATCGGGCACCTGATGAACGCGCCCGGGGCGGTACTGAATGGTGAAGTCGTATTCAGCCAGACGTAGCCGCCACCGGTTGAGTCTTCCAGAACTCTCTGTGAGGGACATGAGCCACCTCAAGGCTTCGTGATCCGTTCGGACGGTGAACTTCGTTCCTTCTACGTACGGCCGTTGTGTGCGGACGGCCCACACTACGGCGAAGCACTCGCGTTCCGTGGCGCTGTAGTTGCGCTCGCTGTCTTTCAGCGAGTAGGACCAATAGCCTACGGGGCGCCAATCGTTTGGCTGGTCGTGCTCCTGGAGCAGCGTGCAGCCAAGCTGGTAGGCACTCGCGTCCGTGTCGATCATGTACGGACGGCCGTACCGCGGTAGTGCGAGGATCGGCGGAGCGATCATACACCTCTTGAGGTTATCGAACGCGTTCAGTTGGGCCTCCGTGGGGTTGTAGAAGTCAGGATCCGCACCCTTGCGCGTCATGTCGGTCAGAGGACGCGCTATCTTTGCGAAACCCTTAACGAATCGGCGGTATACGTTGCACGCCCCGAGGAACGAGCGCATTTGCGTAAGTGTCCTGGGGAACGTGAACGTCTTGAAGGCATCGGCCGCCGTGTCCGCCACGCTTAACTTACCTGGGGCACGTCATTTCCTCAAGCTCAAGAAGTGTATACACTTCTTGAGCTTGAGGGAGATTCCGGCACTCCCAAGCAAGCTCAAGACAGTGTCGAGATGCTTCGCGTGTTCCGCGTGCGTACGCGAGAACACTATAACGTCATCGAGATAGACGAGGCATATTTGCCAGCGAACGCGTGAGAGAATAATATCTAGTGCGCGTTGGAAGGTGGCCGGTGCCCCTTTTAGTCCAAACGGCATTCGCAGTTGGCGAAACGTGCCCATGTGCGTCGTAAAGGTTGTCTTATCCCGGTCTTCCGGAGCTACCGGGATCTGCCAATAACCGGAATTGCAGTCCAACGTCGTAAAGGCGGCTGCATCTCCTAACGAGTTGATGCAGTCGTCCATACGCGGCAGCGGATACGAATCCGCTGCAGTCTTCGCGTTGAGACGCCGGTAGTCCACGCAGAACCGAAGAGAGCCGTCTCTCTTCGGTACGAGCACCACGGGGGACGCCCACTCGGTGCTAGCGGGTTCGATAACCCCTGCGTTCAACATCTTGTTGACCTCCTTCGCCACCATTTCGCGCATGGCCGGGCCCTTCCGATAGGGCATAGAACGAATCGGTTTCGTTCCCGGTTCGAGGGGAATGCGGTGCTCCGTGGCTTGGATCGTTCCAAGCGCACCGCTCCACAGACTCGAGTGCTTACGGAGCATCTGGAGTACGTGGCCACGGAGCTTGTCATCATCGATGTATGACAGGTCGATCTCTTTTTCCCAATCCATCGGTGGATTTTCGGGATCCTTTTGCTGGTGGAGTACAGTACCCCTCGCCGTCGGTTGGTATAAAGGTGACCGTTCGACCGGGTCGACCCCCCTGCCCCTAGCAGTGGTCTTATCGTCGGAGTTGGATCGGCCAACTCCTACCCCACCGACTTGATCGGTCAAGTCGGTCAGGTGTAGCGCGTGCGCGATCCCCTCGGCGACCTTACGTTCGGGAGTGAGGATCGCGAGGGGGTTGCGCTTCGCGTATCCCACGACGGTGTGCTTCGGAAGCCGCCTCTCCCGTCGCGAGAAGTTCGCGACGATGGCGTCGAAGGTCTGATTCGGCAGAACCACCGGGACGCCATTCGTCAACCTCACTCCATGTCGGTGTTGGAGTGAGGCCTTTTGCTCCAGGAACACGAGGCCCCTCCCCGCAGTTGTCACACGCACTCGGGCTTGTGACATCGCGGGGATGGTAACCCAGCGGGCGATTCGGATCGCCTGCGGGGCCTCCTCGCGTACATCCGGCCGGCTCGTCTGGCGTCCGCGTCGCCTGTTAGGGGGAGTCGGCTCCCCCTTCCCGTCGACGATGGCTACGGAGCCACCGTGGCGAAGCTCGAGCTTCTGGCCATCGATGTCTATGCTGTGTACGTGGGAATCGATGAACGCGGTCCCAAGTAGGACGGGAACAGCGAGCTGTTCGGCCACTACGAAAGGTATGCGGAACGTCGTGTTCCGCAACCGGACCGCGAGATGGACGACGGCCGTAAGTCGGAGCGGGTTACTGTTCGCGCCAGCCAGTCGGGGTAATGGCGCGTCCCGTATCACGTAACGGGTCCAGTCGGGAGGGAGGTCGGCCTTCCTCACCAAGTTGTACCCCGAACACGTATCGACGGCGATCGTGTGGGGCTTGAACGCGTTGCCTCCGGTGGCCACGGAGCCCAAGACGTTATATATTTTGACGTCATGAGGCACACGAGGCCATCGACTATCTTAGGCGCGACCTTATCGGTGAGGTCGTTCCGTCGGGGCTTTCGCTTTCGGTGTTGACCCCTCTTGCGCTTCCTTCTACGCGTTTCTTGGGGCGTCCGCGGCTCGGTGACGCCCCCTCGAGTGCTCGGGTCCATACGCGGAGGACCGTTCGTTGGTGGGCCTTGGCTCACGGAAGCTAGGAGATCGACGGGCTCCTTTCGGTCTTCATTACTTCCATCGTGTTCGCTCAGCATCACCGGGGTTGACGGTGTCCCGGTGGTGCTCTCCTCCAGCGTCGGGCTTACGGAGGCCTCGACGCTCGCGCTCTCCTGCATTGGCGTCGCAGGAGTTCCCGTGTTCGCTCCCGGAAGCGGGGGATGTATTATCGGACAATACCCCCCGTGTCCTTGGCGAGCACGCGGGGTCCGGTCTAGTTCGTAGGGATAAGACGGCTCACGCGACCGCGTGTACGTAGCCGTATTTACCCTTTTTTCGAACTACCGGTGCTATCTGAGCTACCTTCCTGGCCATCAGTGGCCAGGTCTTCTTCGGGTCCTTGGCCGCGTGGGTCGGGACGACCCCCCACTGCGGCCGCGCGTCATCAGCGAAGTATTCGCGTACTTCCTGACCTTGACCTGGGACGTCCGGTCGTCGCAGGATATGAGGGACGAGGCGAGTCGGGTCTCCTTCGCGCCCCTCCGTGGGTAGAGGATACGGATCGTCTACCCAATCTTGCAGGTACATGATCGCGTTTTGTACCTGTTGGGGTAACCGAGAACGGTCTCGGTCCCCTCTCCCTCCTTGACGGGGATACCATGTGTCCGACGGGCGGTAATCTGATCGATCACGACGATCGAGTTCGTTACGACGATACCCGCCTCCGCGTGGGGCGAAGCGTGCGCCCCCACCCGAACGATTCGGGAAACCTTGAGGCGGGGGACGGCCCTCGCCGACCGACTGCCGGAGGAGATTACGCGCTCCGGGGCGCGTCTCCATCTGGTAGCGATAGTTCCTGTACGCCGTGAACATTCGTTGTTCCGGCGACAGGAACGGGCACGCGTACATGGCGTGTCCGTACGTACGGCATAGCCAGCACACGTACGCGCTGCCATCCGTTGAGGCGAAGGTCGCCGCGTGACGCGCCTCCTCATCGGTGAGGAGGGGTACGCGAGGGGCTTCGGCTCCTGCATCTCGACTTGAGATGTCGAGCTCTGCGACCCGGGGATCCGTACCCCTTGCCACTCTTGGAGTGGCCGCGAAGGCGGTCGCGTAACTCGATGTCATTCCGGTCGACATCGGTGAGGGGGGTAGTCCCCTCACGGGTCCTGTCCTTGCGTAATGAGTACAGGGTCGGCCTGCCACTCATCCTCCCCGATATGGAGGGTCGAGGCGGGCGAACTTGTTGCGGCGGACTTCGTAGTCCTGCCAGCCCTCCCTGCCGGTTTCGTATCCGGCAGGGGTAAACCGCGCCGAGCGCGGTACGTCGTGCCTTCCGCCGTGGCAGTACGGCGGATGGTTGGAAGATCGGTCTTCTGGCGGCTCGGCAGCCGCTGTACAGTTTCGGAAACTGCGGTACGGGTCGCCGGTGCTAGTCCCTGCACGAAGTAGTGCGCGAGGGACTGTTCTGAGAACACCGCCGTGCACCGGAACGCGGCAGTTTCGAGCCGGTCCGCGAACGTGCTCTCCGTTTCATGAGATTGCTGTCGCGCCGTCGCGACAGCGTGGTACGCTTCACCTAACACGTCGTCGGTTAGGTAGCGTTTCAGGAACTGGTTCACGAGCCCCGGCCAGCTCACGTCGTCGTGTAGCTGGCCGGCGCGGAGGCCACGCATTGTATAACTCGTATACAGGCGCTCCGCGTCGCGCTCTAAGAAGTGCGCGAGGACTCGTACCGCAACACCTTCGGTAAGGTGTTGCGAGTTGAAGGTTATTCGGACATCCTTCAAGAACGGTAGGAGCTGGATCGGGTCCGTACCGTCAAAGCTCCTCATGGTAGGTCGGATCCCACGGCAGCGTTGAACGTACTTCGCGATCCGTCCCGCGTCACCCGAGGTAACGAGCCTCGAGGTGTTATCCGGCCGGTACATACGATAGTCAGCGACGGCGCTGAACTCTTGGATCATCGTATGTACCGGCTCGAGTCCGGGTTCGGCGGGACCCAGCGTGCCGAAGGGGGTGACGGGTAGCGTACGGACGTCTACCGGACCGGGATGCTCGGCGTAATCCGCCGGCGGGTGGCCGCCCCAGCGAGGATCGACAGAATGCATCGGTACTCCGGATCCGCGGGCGGCTCCTCCACGGTCAGGGTCGTCGCGATACGATACGCGTTCCATGTGCCGCCTACTTCCGGGGATAGGCGGCAATGCTTGGGTCTCAGACGCGTAATTCGCGCCTGTCGGAAGGAAGGCGGTTGCCTTCCGCGGTTCGGCTAGTGTCGGCACCAGCCGGTCCCCAACGATCCGGAGCGACGGCGCTCGGAGGTACGGTACCACTGGGCCCTCTCGTGGGGGCACCGGGCAGCCTTGCGACCATGGTCCGTTCCATGTCACGAGCACGCCGACACGTGGCGTTGAGCTCGGCGGACTGGTGCGCGAACGCACCCAACTGTTCCGCGGACGGGGAGGATAGGTCCTCAGGTCGTCTCGTAGGGGTCGGCCCCTTGGGACGACCTTGCCCGGACGGTCCGGGCGATACGAGACGCGAATCTTCGACGAGCACTTTCCGCGAGTGCAACTCGTCGATCAGTGCTCGGAGATTCTCTAAGGACTGCGTCACTCTATCCAACCTCTCTTCACGCAGGGAGCGGAGTTCGGCCATGCATCGAGTGTATACTTGGTCCGATACATCGATCCGAAGGGAAGTACGGACTTCCTCGATGTATTCGGCTATGCGTTCGAACATCGCCGCCGCTCTTTCCTTGGAGGATCCGAGCGATGGTTCGCGGTCACGAGGACCTGCGTCGCCGTCGCCCGACGGGGCGGATGGGGATCGCACAGCGTCCGGACTCGGATCCGCCGCTTCGGAACAGATCGAGGGCTCAAACTCTTGGCTCATCTCGACGCGATCGAATCGCGGAGGGCCTAAGAGGTCTTCTCGGAGAACGTACTCCGGGGTCTTCTAGGTCGGGAGACCACTGTAGTATAACACCCCCCAACGGAGAGGGGTGTATACTCTGCTCGACGTAGACCCCGTACGAGGGGCGAGAAGACGGGGAGAACACACACCCAACGGGACAGGGAAGCGGGCCCTGGTAGCGTGGTAGAGCGGGACGGTCGGGGACGAGCGTACGCACGGGCCGATCTACGCCTCGACGCCCCGGAGCAGCGCTGTGTAACGTACCAGCGCTGACGGGCGGAGGCGGATCTAGGCTCGCTCGCGTACGCGGCTGTCCCCTACCCGCTTTTTCCCGGTTAACGCGCGCGAATGCGGATCGCGCTCGTTAGTTAAGCTGGAGGACGGACCTAGGCGGTAGGTCGTGGACAAGTCCGTGCTTGTCCACCTACTCCGCCGCCGGTCTCGCTCGT